CATCCATCCATCCATCCATCCATCCTATCCATCCATCCCATCTATCCATCTATCCATCTGTGTCTGTCTCTCTGTCCTGCCTTATTCGTATCCATTTGTTTACTGATAGACATTGATGTCCCTCAACCTGACAAGAAGCTGATCATGATGTACCTGACGAGTATGTACGACGGGTTAAAGAACTACACACCAACCAGAGACAGGAAAAACAAGAAAATACAGGTATGGAAAAAAAGTTTTATCAGTCACAATAATATCCTAATGTTATCCCTGTCAAAACTCGTGCTATTTTTAGTTAGAATTGTGTGGTTTTTAAATAAATTAGTTTTATGTCAGAATTATATTAATATCAATTTAATATTAATAATATTCTAATAACTTTAGCAATATCTTCATATTTTCTATTCATTTAATTTGATATCTATTCGACGATATCAATTACTGTTGCACGGACAGTACTCGCATCATTCCATTCATGTTTGATATTATTAATACTTAATACTTCTTAATGATATTATTATGTTTTTTAGCTTAAGATGGAAGTAGACGCGTACAAGGCCTCGTACTCTGAAATCATCTTGTACATAACACAAGTAGAGACGATTGTCATGTCGAAAATTGACAACGAAAACAAGCTGGAAAATCCTCTAGAGGAGCATAAGATTGCACAGGTAAAATGACGTAAGAAAATGCCTTACGCTGATTGGCCAAGCTTAAATAATTAATGACGTCATATAGATACCAGAGCAATCAGTGAACGAAGTTTTTGATTCTTAAAATTCGATCAAAATAAAATTTACAGAAACACACGCACAAATGAAGCATTCTACCATGATTGCACTGACAGTTATCGTAGGAAAATAGTTGTCGCTGATTGGTCGAAAATATGATGACGTCACATATAAACTTGGCCAATCAGCTTTATTTGTCGTCAGCAAGCAGTGGACATGCAGGGGAGGAAAAGAGGGAGGGTGAGAGGGAGGGTGAGAGGGAGGGAGGAAGGGAGGAAGGGTGAGAGGGAGGGAGGGAGGAAGGGAGGGAGAGAGGGAGGGAGGTATTATATATTCAGGCTAGTGGAAAGTGAAGCCCCCTCTCCCCCACCGGAAAACCTGATATCCATTCTGCACGATATAGGTTCACTATGCAGCAGCGGTGTGTATGTACTAATGCTTTCCTTCGCTTACTAAGGATCTCACCAGGGACACAACCAGTCACGTGAGCGACGTTAATGACGTCACCCTCAAAGGTCAGCGGCTTATCGAGGATGGAAAGATCAGTAAAATGGAGCAGCAGGAAATCAAAACGCAAATCGAAACTTTGGAGGTTCGATGGGAGAAGCTGGTGATGCTTGTGTCACGCTACAGTAAACGGTAATGAAAAGATTGTGTGACACATCAGTGACGAACGTGTCACGCATAGAATTGTGGGAGCTCATAAACTGATTTCCAAGGTCTCGGCAAATTAGCCTAAAATCTTTATGCGTGGCGCGCTCGTTATGAAGGAAGAGGTAATGATTGATAAATATGCTGCGTGACCCCTTGCATGACAGGGTTGTTTAACAGTCGAAGCTGTTGTTTCTCTTAAAGCAAAAATGTTTGTTATATTTTCAGTTGCCAAACTGCTTTAGTGTCACAAAAAGAACAAGAAATACAGTTTTACTTCATCTGGATACGAGAAAGTAAATATCATATCAGTAGAAAAGGAGAATCTAGTAAACTAGAAGACATAACGAAAGACTTCGCAGAAATAGAGGTAGGAATTAATTTTTACTATAGTAATAAACTTTCTTAGCTTTTGCGTAAAGTTTCTCCATTTCAGACCACGTGTACTTCTGTTGAGTATCATTTCTTTGTTTAACATTGACGTATGAAAAGACACATGAATATGGATGGATACAAGCCAAACAAATAATCTTATGCCAAGTGATCTGAAATGACAAAGCTGGTTTTTTTTTTACATTTATCATACTCATATCCTGTGATAAAAAATGAAAATATTGTTAAACGAAAGAACAAATGCAATGAAAGAGAACTTCAGAAGAAAATCAAAATTTATTATGGTTCAAAAACTCCTTTACTGGCTTACTCCCTCACAATAAGAAACGTTCCTCCCCACCACCCCATCCCTCCTTTGCTGTAAAACTTAATACGTACATGATTTATCGCACCATATCATCTATATTTTTTCTCCAGAACTTAATATCAGAGATTGAAACGAAACAGCCCGAGTTTGACCGTGAGCTGAATCAAGCGAAGGAACTTTGCGGCGACGAGACGATCGACGGTGATGTCAAAAGAAGTCTAGAAGAGGAAACAATCAAACTTGAGAGACAGTGGCACCAGCTGAAAGAAGAAGTGTTAGGAAAACAAATACAGTAAGTACGCATGCGCATTCATAACTTTTAAACAGTAAATGCGCATGCGCAATTGCAAGTGGATGAAACGTAGTCAATTGGGAGGTAAGGTCAGCATTTGCGTATTTGATGCATCCAGTTTTTTATTCTATTTTCAAAGCATGTGTCATCAACGATTTTTAACAATTTATAAAGGGTAGCTATTTTTTCGAAACACATCCCACATGGAAGGTACTGATCTTGGATGCTAAACTGTCAGCGCAACATGCGACAAGTCGGGTATGCTGGTCATAGCAAGGGGTTAATCATCTACGGACTAGGGGCCGACTAACCTCTCCCTTAGGCTTCGGTCGAGCTTCCTGATCAGTCTGTAAATCCAGGGATAGCGGTGTCGGGGCCGAAATCTCCGGCGTAGCCGTAAATGCTTCGCGCTGCCATACGACGGTTCAGCACTCGATGTCTGGAAGTATGGTCCTCAATTATTCAATCAATAGAAAAAGATAAAAAAATTTCCTAAAAATATAGAAATTTAGAAAGGGCAAGAGGAATCGTTAGTGCGCATGAGCTTGGCTCTTATTAGTTTTTTATGACCACGCTTCTGACTTTAAGTCGGAAAATAATCAGTCCTACCTTACTTTCATGGATTAAAGTTTCAATATATTTGGACCTTTCAATGGATAGTAAAATTGCATTTCGTCAAAGGAAAATGAGAATAGTGAAATGAGAAACAAGAAGAGCACTATTCTCCCTCTCTCCTTCATATTCGTAGTACAACATGTATTTATTTATGATGCGCAGGCTACAGAGGTCATTGGAATCATGGCCATCAGAGGAAGCAGTGACCTTAGTCCAAGACGTGAACAACGTAGAGTCCGCGCCCCCAATAACCATGGATGGAGCCCCTGCAGAACCCATGACATACCAAGTACAAGTTAGAAGATTGAATATTAATGTTAAGAGCCCAGCTGTCAGGTAAAAGAATAACAAAGTAGACTGTTTCTTGATTACAGACTCATTTACTTGGGCTTAGCCTCATTTCAACGTCAAAATATTCACAAATACCAATGGTAAAGTAAAGAGTGCACAACTTCAGCAATGCAACCACTTTGAAATTTTATGAACCTTTGCGGGAACACATGATATAGTGCAGTTTTCGTATGACTGTGATAAGTTCACGGCACGAACACGGTCGTGACACAGCAAGGGATACGCCAGACCAATCACATTGCACGAGAATTTACTCTTCATCCAATCAAATACCCGGAACACGGCATAAACACGGCGCGGACACGGTCACGCCAAGATCACGGCACTTTTAGACCAATCATATTGCGCGTGAAAAAATATCAGCCAATTAAAATTCTTGAAAGTATCAGGGCCACGGAACGTCACGCTTAAGGCACTGAGCTTTTCACAGTCATACGAAAACTGTTCTATCATACACAGTGCGTTGCGCATTGCGTTGTGGGTTGCGCTCATTCGTGGTGTGAATTTTTTTTTTTCTTTCATTTCAGTCCGCGAAATGAGGCGGAGCAGAAGAAGAAGATGCAGACGTGGAAGAGAAAACACAATGAAACACGAGGAGCCATCAACGAGTGTGAAATCATCGTCAAGAAAATGAAACGTGAACACGACGTACAGTTATTTTACGATCAATACCAGGTAAGTAAAGGTCACGTGATAAACACATGACTACTATCGTGGATGATCACGTGATCACGTATGTATTATTTTCTGCACATGCTTGGTGTTTCTTTAAACGCTATTTTGTATATTCTTTCACTCATCTATGAGCTATGACACAATTGATATTGATTATAGGAGTGCAACCAGAAGATACGAAAAGTTGACCCAATGGTTGTAGACACAGTGGATCACGGCCAGAACATCCTGAGAGACGAAAACATGGAAAAGGACTACAAAGCTGAAGTAGAGCGAGACCTGGAGGATCTTGTGGGAGACTATGATGATCTATTGAGAGCTGTAGACGAAAAGAAGAGCGAGTAAGTGGAACACATACCTAAATAGATACAGATAACTTGGTATGTTTGTATAAATGGTTTTATGGATGTTTCTTAAGCCCATGTACTTTTACTTGGTCTTTCTTGAACAATAATCAAAAACTATAAACGCAGCGATGAAAAGACGAGGCAAGTAAATGCAACAAAAGCTAGGAAAACAAATGAAATGTCTGTAAAGCAAAAAAGAAACAAGAAGTAAAAAAGGATCTCACGCAAAAAAAGTAAAAATTTAAAAAGATTTATGCTAACCAACCAGATTTTATTTGTAGAAAAACATTGCAATATACAAGCATTAAAGGTTAACGTTATCCTTAATTTTGGTCTATTTGGCGCACTTTCTTTCTTTGTGACTTAATTGACATTAACCATGTTTTAATGGGATTTAAGGATGGACGAGCAGATAAAAGACGAAGGGTCCAGTAAAAGAAAAATGCTACAGAACTGGAAAGTAACGAGGGACGAACTGAAGCCCAAAATTTCCAGTTGCTTTATAGTACTACGAAACCTTAAGGCAAAAGAGGTCCCGCTGGATCGGGTTGAACTCAAGCTGCACGCCGAGAAGATAGAGGTGAATATGGACGTTCGCAAGTCTTGAGAGAACTGAGCATTGCGCATGCGCTTTTATTAAACCACAGGGAGACCGAACTGTGAATTCTAAACAGTGCGCATGGCGAACCAGGTGTCATGCGCCGTTTTTCAAAATTACAGGGGCACTATACATGATTGAGCATTGCGCATTATTTCAAAATCACAGGGAAACCAAACCTCACTGAGCATTGCGCATGCGTTTTTCCTAAACCACAGGGAGACCGAACCATTCTTAATACTGCGCATTAGCAACCAGGTGTCATTTGCTGTTTTTCGAAATCAAAGGGCACTAAACTAGATTGAGCATTGCGCATGCGCTTTTTCAGAATCACAGGGAAACCAAAGCTCACAAAGCATTGCGCATGCGCTGTTATCCAAAGTCATAGAAAAACCAAAACTTACTAAGCATTGCGCATGTGCCATTTTCCAAACCATAGGAAGCCCAAACTTCACAGGATAGTTTAAAATCTTGTGTTATCTTTTATTCTGGTTTGAAATAAACAATCGTCTTGATATCCAAAACTAGGCTTGCCACCAGCAAGTGACGTCACTCGAACCGGAAGTGGATGATGTGATTGACACCGGACATATTTTATTACAAATTCATCGACTGGATGAGAATGAGAGGAGACTGGTTACCAGTGATATACATGAAATCGAGGACCAGTATAGGACTGTTAAAGATGACAGTACAGAACTGAAAATGTGGTAGGTGGAGGAGAAAAAAGAAAGAAAGAAAGAAAAAGTAAAAAAAAAAATTTCAGTTAGGTTTTTTTAAGGTAAAAAAAGATGAAAAAAATATGAAAAATCGAACGACTTAAGAACGACTCCCATTATTTAGATTTTTTAATTGATATATAAGAATATTGAAAAATAATTAGCATTAATAATAAAATTTTAATATTATTAATGATATGCTAATAATAGCTGTACTATCAGTATTTTGATTTTGTTTGATCAATCCTATTCGATCATTAAAAAGTTATAAGGATTAATATTAAGGCTTTATTAATATTAATAATATGCTAATAGCTTGGTTATCATTAGGATCGACAGCGCAATGAAAGAGGAAGATTCCAAGACAGAAGAACAATTGACGGAATGGAGGTCAAAGAGAGATGATTTAAGATCCCAGATATCAAAATACTACATCGTGTTAAAGGGTTTGAAGAAGAATGGTTCTCCTTCAGAACCCGTTCAGCTGACGCTCCGCGCAAAGAAAATTGAGGTGATAATCTCGCTTACTTTACTATGCTCTCTTATCTTTTCCCTCTCTTTCCATTTTCCCCTTTTTTCATTTCTACCCTTTCTCTTTCTGTCCTTCCCTCATCCCATCTCTTGTCTTCATTTCCCATCGTTCTTTTTTCCTTTTAACCATCCATTCCCATCCTTCAGTTCCTTTTTCCTTTCCTTTTATCTTCCTTTCTTTCCCTCGACATTTATTTAACCTTTTCACTCCGCATTTTCTATTATCATCAGGTGTGCTACCAGGAAGTGACGTCACTTGACCCGGAAGTGGACCGTTTCGTGGATCAAAGTAATCAGCTGCTTAAAGGCGGGAAACTAGAGGAGAAAGAGAAGGACCTGGTGATTAGAGATATGAAGGACCTAGACGAACAGTACGAAGACCTAAGAAGAGAGAGCACAGAAATGAAGAACGAGTGAGTACAAGACTAAATATAAGTTAGAGTAAATTTAGAATGATAGTGAAACGACACGGCACGGCACGGAAACATCTTTTGAAACAATTAGACACTTTACCGCCATGATCACGGTACGGCACTGATTAGAGACCTTTAGCATCAGGTTTTCCGCTAACCACTAGGGATCAGGCCCAGAAACACGGCCGCAAACACGGAGAAACACTCAGAATCAATGAAATTCGAAATAATGAATCTTTTTTTCTTTCCTTTCCTGGTTGTCTTGTTTTGTTTTTTCTTATTTCTTTTTTTCTATTTCCTTTTTTTTGTTTTTGTTTTTGTTTCTTTTTGTTTGTTTTTTGTTTTGTTTTGTTTTGTTTTGTTTTGTTTTGTTTTGTTGTKTTGTTTTGCTTTTCTTGGCTCCGTTCTTTGTTCTTTTTATTTGTTTGTTTATTTGTTTTTCTTGCTTTGTTTCTTTTTCTTGGCGATTCTTACTTTTACTTTTAACTTCTTTTTTCAATTACTTTACTTAAGGAATGTTCTTTATTCTCATCTGGTTAATGCGTACATGTACCAAATAATTTCAACACTACAATCGTTATCTCTGTCATAAGTTTACGTAGCCCTGACTAAACGTCACACGCACCTTCAAATTAAATTGCTACAGAAACTCTTAAAGTGCTGCTATGACGAAAATCGCTCAATGGATTCAGCTGAAACTTCCTAAGAATACTCTTTAAAGGTCCAATAATCACTGTATGAAGTGTTCTCTCGATATTCAGGACGAAAGTATGATATTTTTACGATTAATTTTTGGAGTCTGTGACGTCATACACTCAACATCGAACATCGCTCCAAACATTTCTTTGTAGTTTATGATCAAAATATCAGTAGTAAAGCAGAGAAAGAACTACCCAAACACCCCAAAATATAAATCATAGTCACAAGTAATGTGAAATAAGCACATTAGCCACTCTTTGGGCTTCATAGGAATAAAATAAATTAAGGATTTATATACAAAGAAATATATGTAGCATTGTTTGATGTTGAGTGTATGACGTCACAGACTCCAAAAAATAATCGTAAAAATATCATACTTTCGTCCTGAATATCGAGAAAACACTTCATACGGTGATTGTTGGACCTTTAAAGAGTATTCTTAGGAAGTTTCAGCTGAATCCAAGTTTGAGCGATTTTCGTCATAGTAGCACTTTAAAAGGTTTTGAACGTTTTGGTATGCAAGATTAAAGATATCAATCCCTAAACTTCTATCTTCTATGACCTTAACCTCAAGATCTACAATTCCAAACATTTCAGGTATTACCAGTTGTGTCTATGAGTGCAGCGTACTGTCTAGAGTATTGGTATATCGTTTTACTTAAGTTCTGGATTTGTGTTATGATCAGCGATGTTGTATCTTGACTTACTGTAAACTAGAGGATGGGCCATTCTCATTCTTTGGATCTCAGCAGTAGAAGATCTAAAGTTAGTCCACAATCAGCTCAGCCACAGCTCAAAGCAGTGCATTCTTTAAGGTGTTGAGATAATTTGCTCGTATAACTTTACTGGTTTTAGCTCTGGTAAAATAGTTTTATGACAGGAAAATAACTCGTCCTGGTAAGCTCAGTATCAGTGTAGTGGAAAGTTATATAAAGACACATAACTTATTTCTTGTGTTTTTTTTATTTTTTTATGTGTGTGTCTATCAGAGTTGAGGAATTGTTGGAGAACCAAGAGAAAAAACAACATGACCTTCTGAAGTGGAGAGAATGGAAACAAGAGATCAATAACAGGCTAGATGACGTGCAGAACACTGTAGAAAAGATCCAGTCCAGTAGCTCTTCAAAAAACTTGCAAACTGTAGAAGAGAGCCTTATGCTATCCGAGGTATGTTTGGGCTAGTTGTCATGACGACTAAAATGGCTAGAGTGCTGATTATGGTAACTTCCTGTATTACATGACCTTTTCCTAATCAGACTACTGACTCTTCCTCTCTAAGCCGACTACAACGTTATATCGATCGCCTTCCTTCAACTAACAACCTGCCTTAATGGACCATCGTCTTCAAAGGGTCATTTGCTTTGGTTGCATGACCATTTCTCTTAATTGATCGTAAGAAAGACCTTCCTTAATCGACCACCTTCGTTAACCGACCACATGCCTTGACTGACTATTTCTCTAAATTTATCGCCTCTCATAAATTAAGACCTGCCTTCAATCGACCATGCACCTCCCAGCCTTTTATGATCCGCCCTCAAAAGCGACCATATTCATTAAAAGCGTAACTATAGCGGTATTCTATCGTATTTGTAGGAATGTAACAAACGAGTAAAGAAGCTGGAACCAGATGTTAATTCTGCACTGGACTTCGCACAGCAGTTAAAGAATGAATGTCCGTTATCTGAAGAAGAGAGAAGAGAGATTGAGGATGATGTGGATGATATACAGATACGATACGACAAGCTGAAAGAGGATTCAAGCGATCAACATGAATGGCTAGTTGTCTACCTCCAGGAACAAGAAACAGCTAAAAAGGACGAGCTGGAAAAATGGCGGGAAACAAAGCAAAATACTACTGATTTGATTGACAGATGTCGATCAAAGCTCGATACAGTTAACACTGATCCTGATGTATCACGTGACATCGCCAAACAGAATGAGATAATTAAGGTAAATCTGGAATTCAACAGGAGAAGGGGTGGGTAAGATTTTAATACTGGTTACTCGTGCAGGAACATTGCTTAGTATTTATTATTTATTACTATTAATATTTATTAACAACTGTGCACTGTATTATGGTTTACTCGTGCAGAAATGCCAAGAAGACTTGCCCTCGATTTTTGAGGAAGTTCAATCAAGTCTAAAGCAAGCCAACTTACCCCTTGCTGATGATTTGCTGAGTAAAGATGATAAAGATGAAGTACAGGCTGATGCCGAAGTGATAAGTAACAAGTTGAGATCTTTACAGAGTCACATCGAGAACCAAAAGACACGGTATGTGTTGCAAATGTCTTGTAATCGTCCTCTTTTCTTGTTGTAGTTATTCAAAGAGTTACTTAATAGATCTCTTCGGCTCTGACGTAATGTTTTCCCATTTCAGACCACATGTCATTCCCTAGAGTATCATTTCTTTGTTTACGCTTTGCCCTCATTTGCACATGAACACACATGAATATGGATAGAGCTCAAACAAAGAATCTTATTCTCAAGGGAATGACACGTGTAAGGGAGGAGGAAGTGAGAGGGGAAATAAACAACAAAAACATGTACAAAAATCATACTAAATAGAGAGATTTTTTTGACTGAAAGACACTGTTGTGATGGCCGTAGCGTGTCCGTTAGAGTACCGCG